GCTCCATCTGGCCAAGCGTTCTACGCTACGTTTGCCGAGACGTGGTCTCCACTCAAGAAGTCGATTCCCTCGTCGGTCATCGGTTCTTCCACAGCCCACTGCCACTTCAGCTTGCTTATTCTACCAGCTATGTGGACGACTTTAGTTCTCTGTCGGAGAACCTCGTTCCGTACCTTGTCCTTTTGAAACTCCGAGCATAGCTCGCTCCATAGCTCGCTGAGAGACTTGCAAACGTTACGCTGATTAAAATATGACTTTTGTCCAATGGGGATTATTAAAACCAACGCACATGAGCTTCTACAATTTATATCAATTTTTTTTTGTGATACCATATGACGAGACGAACATGTCGTGCGCTAGGTGTTCAGGGACACGCCTGACTGTAGCAGTTGCAGTGTCACTCATAGCCTTTTAAGGACACATGTGCTGACGTTACGTTTTCAGCCCTCTGCGTGTGCGCAGTCAGTCATCGCCCGTCGCGCGCCCGGTCCGATCGTTTCCAGCAATATTCATCGCCATAAGTAGTTCCGAGTAAATCTGTGTAAATCTTCTAATTGTTTTGTACCGTATATATTTGGCAGTGAACAATAAAAGTGTGACAACTAAATTATAACGGAGTTTTGACTTTATCTGGAATCCCCATAGTGAGCACGTTATATCTGGGTGGTTAATAGGACATTTCTAAAGCCTTAAAGCACAAAGATGAGACATGAGTTGACAAGTCCGGTGGGCCTGTTATTTCACCAGCACCCTTCAAAACTGGAGCGCAGTAATGCTGACATTACTGCTTGGCGGCAGAAATAGATGATGTGGCAGTATTTCACTGGAGTTCTACTGCTATTAAAAAGTATTATCAATAAAATCTATGAGATACGCTGATATTTTGATATACTTTAAATCTCGTACACAATTTAATTTACTGACAAAGTCGTCAAAAACACAGTTAGAGCCATTAGTTACATTAGTTACAGCCATTATCATATTGTCAGTAAGTACAGCAGGTGTGCACAGGATACGTACAGCGGTAAATTGATGCGAAATGGGGGACGCAGGAAGATAGAGAGATAGGGATCAAGGAATCTGGGAGGAAACTAATACCCTCTCTTCGCGACCCAGTGCAATTTTGATGAGCAGATGATATATTTATCTTATGACTAAATAAAAATATTATCTACTCATCTACAGTAGGTAATATTTTTATCTACTCTAATTAATTATAATTTTCTTTGTGTGTGTTCGATCTTTGTATCAATAATCCAGTGGAGTAATTTCACAATAATCATAACTTTTTTACTTAAAAAACTTACTTCAAAAGTTAACTCCGCTTTCGCTGTGTTCCTTACCGTGGTCTCTTCAACGATAACTAAAACACATAATATGGAAGTCCTCGTCAATTGGAATCACATCTACATATATGCTAAGTTTTATTGAAATCGATTAACGGAAAGTGGGTGAAATTAAATAAACCCATCCCCTAGTAAACCATTGGAACCTCTTGCGACGTACGATCCCTTAGACCAATATACACATAAATGATAATCCCTAATTAGAGGTTTCTTACTACGATATGATTTCTTTTTATTTTCCCCATATTACGGAACGGTTACACGCGCAATGGTCACGGGTTTACGGCAGTCAAGTCAAGCGGACTTCAGTTTCGCGTTGAAACTTGCGAGTGTGGATACAGTGAGTGTGGTTTGTCGGAAAAAACTGAGTGACAATGGTAACGCCACGAGTAATAGAAATGAGGGTAGTCTTCGACAGCGAAAGATGTTGACAGATATATCTGTTCTAAAAGCTATCCTGCCGCTGGCCAGTCAACCCGTGGCCAAGGAGCGTTTCAAAATATCGGGAAAATAAAAAGAAATCATATCGTGGTTACAAACCTGTAATCATTTAGTGAATAAACACGAAAACCCTAAATATACACATGTACAGACAAATGCTTGAAATTTATAACTATCCTCTTTTTGCGTCGGGGTGAAGTAGGCAACCCGAGTATGATACCTTTGACAAAAATAAATACTCGATTACTGCAATGCATACACAGTACTCCTTAAACGTATCTAGCATTAACATAATGAAATGTAACAAAAGTATTGTTATATCGTATCTCTTACACGTACAGCTGTGACAGGCAGACAAAACAAGGAGTGCCCAAGGACGAACAGCGGCGTTTAATGAATGAATAAATGGAATGAATGGTGCTGCATGGATGGTAGACCAAATAGTTTCCTTTAGTTGTGAAAATCCTTCAAAGGAAATTGTACCGTAATATGGCGTTTGCATTGTTTTAATATCGCTGCAACTGTTTGCATGACATCAGTGTGAGACAGTATACCATGTTTAAACAGGATGCGAAGTGGTAATTCATTATTACACATAGGGCACACTATAAGTTCCCGGAACTGGGCACTTATTTAAAAAGTAATTACAACATTTGAAAGTGGAACTCTTTGGCTGTAGAATACAGTTTGTTTCATCTGACTGTCACTTGTTTGTACATTGTGACGTCATTTTAGAAATTGGTTGTCTACATCATCATGGATTTAACTCGTGATAGTTTTCGTAGTATGATTTTAAACGCGGTCGTGTGAATCTCAGTGACGAATTTCGTGATGGTCCCCCGTCTACTGCTGTGAACAACAAAAACATCGATGCTGTGCGCCGTATGATCAGAACAGACAGGCATGTGACATACCATGAGATTCGGGCATCTTTAAGCATAGGCATGAGTCAAATACAATCAATAAAACACAAACATTTGAGTGTGAAAAAGCTGTGCTCTCGGTGGATCCCACACTATTTGACTGAGGCTCAAAAAACGGATCGCGTCACTTGGTCTTGGTACCATGCCATGCTTACCAGATTCAACGAAGGAGCGTCAAATTTGGTGTGGGACATAGTAACAGGTGACGAAACATGGATTTATAGTTACGATCCCAAAACAAAGCAGCAATCGAGCGTAAGGGCCTTTCAAGATGAGCCGAAACCAACCAAAGTGGCGCGCGTGCAAAGTGCCCCTAAGCGGATGATTGCTTCTTTTTTTAATAAAACTGGACACGTGGCCACTGTTGCTTTGGAGAATCGTTGTGCCGTGAATAGTGATTGGTACACGACCACTTGTTAACCGGAAATTATTGACAAACTCCGTAAAAATAACCGTAAACATGGTGTCATCTAGCACCACGACAATGCCAGTTCTCACCTTCTCACACGGCCAGACAGACAAATGAATTTTTGAAGGTGAACAACGTTGACCTTATGAGCCATCACACGTACAGTCCCGACCTGGCACCTTGTGACTTTTATTTATTTCCAAAAATTAAGAACCAGTTACGCGGTCAACGGTTTTCATTACCTGAAGAGGCTGTGGAAGGGTATGAAAAATATGTTTCAGAGATTGTCACGGAGGAGTGGCATAAATGTTTTCAAAAACTTTATGAGATTAAATATTTTGAGAAACAATAAATTAATTTCTGACTATTTACAATACTTTTTTCTTATTCATTCCGGAAACTCATAGTGCGCCTCACGTACTTAATTATCACAATTATAAAATTAATAATTATAAAAAAAAATGCTACCGCTAGCAATGTCGTGCCACGTTTTTGTCTCAGAGACGTATCCAAACGTGTCAAATGTCGATGTAAAAAAATCACAAACCGAATAGTTTTCACAGATATAAAAATAAAGAGACAAAAGTGTAAATCAGAATAGATAATCATCGAATATATTACTTTGGCTAATTATTAGATAATTATCAAATAAAATAACTACCTTTAAGCGTTTCATGTTCCTCTATAAAAGATTTATAATTAGCAATTTATGTAATTAGATTAATAAGATATTTCTGGCATCATTCACAAATGACCTGGAGAAAATCGTCAGAAGCCGTAGGATTTTAGCTACCTGGACGCTTCATAAATCATAACTACGTTAGGGCTGTTCATTACGAGAATTTTCAGCTATGAAGTTGTAAGGACCGTAATTGTTTATGATTACGCAAACAATCACATATTTAATCTGATGGTAACTGCTTACAAACGTAGACATATACGGTAGTCCTCAATATCGCAAATGTATGTGAACTTAATGATCTAGAGTCTCTTGTAATTCCTCTTGCTCTCCATATCTCAACTCTTCGATTGGGGTAGAAATTTTTTTTATGGCACGAACTGACATGGCGAACAAATTCGTAGCGGTTGTTTAAATCGCAAAGATCTGGCAAGCACTGCCACTGCGCCCGTCACCGTTCTTCTTCTAATCATATCGAAAACATACAATGTTATGATATGACATAAGTTGACGAGTCCCATGTGCCTGTAACTTCAACAGCATCCCTATTATGATATTCCTTCCTAAGGCAGATTCCTTTGTGTAGAACAAGAAACTCTAACGATCACTCTTTGTAAATCACATTTACAGTTTACAATAAACGTTGAAAAATATTGTTGTTCGGAATAATTTAATAAATATATAAATAATAAATTGCCTAGCACAAATTTTGAAATTCAATCTGTGAACTAGGATAATAGGGTAATGGTAGCCGTAAAGGTACCTGGCTGAGTGATGAATTGTTCATTATAAATTCTCGCAGGTGGCGGCAAAAAAGCCGTTAAAACTCAATACAAATATCCGCAACAAGCTCATATTGTCTGTAACTCAGTTGGTAAAGTGGTAGTCACGTTGAGGCAACAGTCGCTGGTATGTGTTAAGTACAACAAACTAGTGTAAAAATATTTAACTGTAAAAGTTTACCCGCAATATTTTACAACTATGAAAACAAAAAAAATAAAAATGGCAGCTTCACTTCGGTAAGGAATTTTACGTAAAAACAAAATATCTTGCAAGATCCCTGCCCACATAACACACTGTTAACAAATTACGTAAATTTCACACCACATCCTGGCACCAATTTGTCAAGGAATTGCTGCAATTGGATAATGACGTGAGTTCCTAGATTGTAGATATAACTATACAGTTTTTAGCTGTCAGCCAGTCGAACGACGGCCTCCGGCTAGAAGGAACCTCTGTGAGCTAGTTCGACTCTAGGTTTTGGTTTAACTGGTCGGAAGAAATAATCCAAATGGCCGCCGTAATAATTTGCTTGTTGGCAGTCTTGTGCAGTTTCCTACACCAAGGTTTGTGCTTTTTCTTATTCCATTCAATCTTTCGGAACCAAAAAAATATACAACTAATAAAAAAATGTAAAACTAAAGGTATAAATATTTTTATCAAAATTGAAATATAAAACTATTTGGGAACAGGAAAAAATTATGCATATAATATACATATTATTCACCTTCATAATCGTTGCATTGCCACACGGTTGTCTTAGGTTTAAATACATAATTTTGTGCCTTAGAAATAGCACCTCGTTGGGGCACTGCAATGTTAGAGAGAGCATACTATTTATTACATTTTTTTACTATGGGTCAAAATAATGACAATAATATCATCACATATATACAGTGTCAAATAATATTCAATTTAGATTTCGTATATCATTGTCAATAAAAAAGTGATTTAATTTATAAAACGCATTTTTCAGACGGCATGTTTTAAGTAGGTTTTGAAATATTTTCGTTTTTTTTTTTTCATTTTTTATATAGTTCGGTATATTTGATTGCAATGGAGTGGGGAGTTTTAATTTAGGAATAATTCGCTTCCATATTTCGACAGTATTCACGGGAAAAGTTTAAGTATAAAACCATCCGAATATGTGACCACTAATGATCATATATAGCTCTTTTCTGCCAAGGGTACGAAACTGCCGTCAGTTGACTAAAACGCGACAAGTGATAAAATAATTTTTTGAGATATAACCATAACCCACTTTTAAATTGTTTAATCATATTTCAGCTATGCATAGTTATATATGTGGGTAAGTTCCGATTCCGATAAGTCGTACATGTTAACTAATTCTAATTTTTTTGAAAGAGAATTGTGTGCTCTATTTTTTGCTATTTAAAACGGTTATTTGACCATTTGTCACTCACTTAGCTGCGTATTGGTTAGTGGACGGCAGGAATCTGAGTGTCGTATCATTCCTTTTACTCTTTAATATTAGATGTGATATTTTTGCGATTTCATACTATGTCTATAGTAAAAATTCTCGTCTTCTTGTTTATTTTAGTACATGATTATTATTTTTCAGAATACATTATTTGTATCAACGTTATTGTTTGTTGAATTCTGGTAAACAGGTGCCCAGTTCTTACGACGACAACCACTTAGGTCAATATCTAAAGTAATGGATTTATGGCTCACATATCGTCTAGACACATATCTACTTTGAGTTAGTTTACATTACATAGTATATATGTACATTCTGGGGAGCATTGACGGATCTACCATTAGTAAACTCTAGTAAAATTATGTAGTACGGCTTTCTTTCATGTTTTCGAAAAAAAGTACAACAAATTCGAAATTCAGTGATAATTTTTTTTTTAATAACGCACACACTCAACATAGCCCCGCACTAGGGAAACCCTGTGTCACGGGTGCCATGGACACACACATAGACAACCACAAATTACACCCAAACTCACGAGATAAATAATTGTAGGCCATACAACTATTTCTCCCGACCCGGGAATCGAACCTGGGACCTCTGCGTGGCAGTCCGGCATGGTAACCGTTCGGCCACGGAGGCAGTTAAGTTTTGCGCACCTGCGCAAATGAGTTTAAAGATTTTCTGCGTTTTCAAGAATAGTTAAAGTATATTTTCGATATTAAAAATACATAACACATATCTTATACAGAAACTTTCATGATATTTTAAATAACCATTACCTACTCTTTACATTACTCTTTCGTTACATTACTCTTTCGTTACATTTTAAATAAATAGAAAAAAATATTAAGAAAATACTACAGCATATAAAGGCATAACTAATTTAAATACAACTTCTAATAATTGACTTATAACTGAACTAAAGGGCATAGTTATAGTCAATTGTGCCTTTTTAATGTTATTTATGAAGTAATTAATGTAATATTGAACTAGGTACTAAGGTAATAAGGGCACAATTCCGTACATTACTAAGTAAAATTCTTTGATATCAGTACTTTTCATTTAATAAACATCAAATATTACTTTTATTGGTAGAATATTGATGTCAGTTGTGCTTTTTAAGCACTCTTTATATCTAACAACTAATTATTGAGATAGATGATTGCAAAAAATTTGGTGGATTAGATTTTTTTTCTTATCTCGAATATATTATAACTAAATTTAGATGAAAATGTTAACTGTGCAAGGGGACAAAAATTTATTCGATTTCCAAATACTGCCACCTATGTGTCTAAACGTCACTATGACCTCTAAAATATCTTGTTTTTTATGAATCGATATATTTTTTATTGATAAAAATTATTATTAATCATTAACTGCCTCCGTGGCCGAACGGTTACCATGCCGACTGCCACGCAGAGGTACCAGATTCGAAATATTTGTATGGCCTACATTTATTTATCTCATGAGTTTGGGTGTAATTTTTGGTTGTCTATGTGTGTGTCCATGGCACCCGCGACACAGGGTTTTTAGGGTGTACGTTATTTATTTATTAGAGATGCTAGGTAATGAACATTTCTAAATCGGTCACGTGGGGGCGAATTTCGTTATTGTTCTGTAACTCCGTCGCTCTGGTACTTATAACCTTAATCGTACATATAGGAATGCCTGAGTTTGGGAGCAGGTATTAATTGTTGTGGTTGCATTAATATTTTACTTTTTTATTTTGTTTTATTACAGACCTTTTTTTACGGTTTACCTTAAATACACTACGATGTAATAGGGTGTTTTTTTTTTTGTTAAATTGATGTCTTATATAATATGCTGTCTACTATATTCGAAATTTCAATTAGAGATTATACACATTTAGTGAGTTGCTACATTTTGATGACAAAATTGTGTTGTCGAAATAAACTCTTTTTTTAATAATATTAATTAATTAATTATGACAATGATATCTTTATTTACTGTTATTTTAATTAAAAATCTAGGAATTTCACAACGTCACAGTACATAATTATTTTAAGTGATATGATAATTAATGATGAAAATGATATCTTTACTTATAATAAATGTTAATTAAAAAACTAGGAATTTGACAGTGTCACCGTATATTCATGAAAATTAAATTTAAGTTAAAAAAATACATTTTTTTTAAATAGTAATAAATACTTCTTTATTACTTAAACACCTAAATACACGGAAATAAATTTATGAAATCCACAGTCGAGCTGTAAAGTTTCTCCTATAAATATTTATAGCTTGGCCCAGAACCAGGGCGTTATGACGCTATACAAGGTGCCTGTATTTGTGGACAATGTGCTAATGCTGATATGAATGGAATTGCTTGTTGAATAAGAGAGAACGGCTTAGTGATCAACGACTTGAATCAATGTGACAGCCTGTCGTTCGCTTGGTATAATCAAAGCCCCAGGAGCGCTCTTATCACATGAAATGCACACAATAATACTTATACATACATGTATTTAGTAGAAGTGGAGCTCCTTGTGGAATTACAGGCACCTGGGACTTGTCAAATTACTTTCCAATTTAAAGCTCTAAGTGGCACTGTAACTGTTATGGACAGGCGTGTAGCTTACCATCAGGTGCACGACTTGTTCGTCCCGTCATGGAACAAAAATTGTTGTTTATAATGTTAGTCATACAGTTCTGGGAGGTTGCTAGTATTTTTATATATGTAACCCCGTATAAATTTTATTAATTTAAATTGAAGCGCTAAACAAATAGAGCGTATTTCGCCATGACAGTTAGACGCACGCGGTCGCACGGCAACACGGACTCCGCTCTTCGACCGCGCGGCGGCCGCACGGGGTGAGCGCGATGTAATTCATGTCGAGTAAATACCCCCTTAAACGCTTTGATAATGAAATGGTTATATCCATTTTAAGAAATCGTTCATATTTTAAGTGCCTAATTTAACTCCCTCAATTCCGATGACTGGTAATCAGCCTAAGATCTGCTGGTTCTGTAGCTCAGTTGGCGACTGGCGCAGCGCATGCATGAAGCGCATTTCTTTCCCGAAAAGTTGTAATTTTGCAGATGTGACATCATTACAAGGAATGGCATCAGAATGCTATCTAGGGACATTGTCGCTTGAACAAGCACGTGTCAAATATTGGGCAAAGAATAGTGTGTGTAGATCATAGTTTCCCAAAGTGATACCTACCGCCCCTCAGTGGGCGCTGAAAGTCTTAGGGTAGGTAGAGGCCTCGGAAGCAATTGAGGGAATTGATGCTGTCCAGAGGGTGCTACCGCATTTCAAAAAAAACCTGAATTATATGAATAAAACCTAATTTATATATATATAAAAAAAATAAAACTACTTATATAATACTACTAGAATTATTCCTTGTGATTTTTTGTGTTAAGTTAATATAGAATATATATGTTCTCAGTGCGATTTAAAGCTCTGAGTGGTACTGTAACTGTTATGGACAGGCGTGGCACTTACCATCAAACGCATGACTTGTACGTCACGTCAATTTAAGGTAAAAACAAATATATACCAAGTGGCGGGACGAAAGTAGCAGTACCGCTCAGAACTTTAAACCGCAACGTCAAATTTAAATAGGTATTCATTTAATCCATAGGTAAAATTTTTACACACAAAATGTCATTTTTAAACTACTGCTGGTTTACTGTGCTGACTTCCCTGAGAAGAACGAGCAAGAAACTCTAGGTATTGCTTTTTGCAATCAATCAAAACGCTATGGAATACACTTTGAATCATAATTGTGTGGAATCTAGACTCTTGTTGTCTTTCCATAGATCTTTATCTAAAATATACCCTTCAGTTTTGTAATATGGCTTTTCAATTAAAATACTTTTAATATTAGTTTTAAATTTAGGAAATGATAATCTTAATATATGCCCCTGAACCTTATTGTTGACTTTAGAAGAAATCGTGGTACCGTGAGTTTGGACTTAGTTCTAAGGTTAATATTATGGATATCTTCTTCCTTAATGAAATTTTGTATATTTCTACGGGCATACAAAACATTTGAGTAAATGTACTGCGATGTCACAGTCATGATACCAGTCTCCTTAAACTTTTCTCTGAGAGAAACCCGAGAACCTAAACAGTACACAGAACAAATCGCTCGTTTTTGTAACACAAATACCTATGGTTTGTGTATCTGCCGCTTTGCCCCACATGAGAATCCCGAAGGACGTTATACTATGGAAGTAACTATAGTAAACTAGTCTAGCTTTAGCGACATCGGTAAGCTTATGTATTCTACGGACTGCGTATGGAAGTTTACTATCTAAAGTCACTCCCAAAAAGACAGCTTCATTAAAAAGGTCTAACTTTTCTCCATTTATTTGTGTGATTGGACTGGTCGATTTACATTAGGTAATTCAAATTTAACACACTTTGTCTTCTTGGCAATGAGCAAAGATCCGAGGAGCAATGCCACTGCGCCCGTTGCCCTGAAGCATAATTTGACAAGTCCCATGTACCTGTAAGTTCTTCAGCACCCTTACCCTTCAAAACAGGAACGCTGCGAATGTATAATGTCAGTATTACTATACTCACATTATTGCTTGGCGGCAGATATAAGGTAAACTGGCAGTACTTACTACACTGGACGAACATTTGCACAAGGTGCTCTACGGCTACAAAAACTTGTCTGAAACTTGGGAATTACCTGTACTGTAAAATACCAGAGCAACGGAATTAACTTCGGGGCATTACCCAGAACACCCAGACCAGAACCCCGATTCAGAACTCATCGATATTCAGTTAAACGTTCTATTCGGATTCGGATACGATATCGTTATCCAACAGCGTCTACGGAGTTAGTCGGTGAATTAGATTATAAGAAAAATGATAGTCCTTTTATATACATTTGTAAGACTTTAAAGGTCTAAAATATAGGAATGCTTTAAAATAAATAAATTAATTTGTGCAAAATCCAGACTTTATTTAAAATAATAAGAAATTTCTGTATTAATTCTTGCTTTGTAAACAAGGACGTTCGGTAACTTTCATTCGATATCTGTGTTCTGAATAACGTTTGTAGCCTTTGCCGGTCGATAAGTTCGAGTAATCGTACGGGTGTGACGTCATTTCGGTTCGGTTTCGAATACAACAATTTGACGTTCGATTCGGGTGCTGTGTATAAAAATGAAAAGAAAGTTATCAATCGATACCGTATCGAATCGGTCGACAACTGAGTTATCGTAAAGTTCTGAATCGACCCCCAGAACCAATTCAGAAATCCAGCGCCCACAGGAACTTCGATGCCTACAAGCTAATTACCAACACATGCTGCGTTCCACTGTTTGCTAGTTTCAACATAAAGAAACCGTCTTTGTTGTCTTATTTGTCCACAGGTCTAGCGATAACATGTTACCAGTGCAACAGCCACAATGACTCGCGATGTCTAATGGACAAGCTGCCTGATTCCCTCCGGCTGCCATGCGGGCCCAAGGACACGATGTGTCGCAAGATCAGCCAGGTCGTGGAGTTCGAGATGAACGGCATGCCGCCAGACAGCCGTGTCATAAGAGGCTGTGGGTGGGACGAGAGCAGCTATAAGGTGAGAACTTTGGAACATGCAAGACAAATACTGTCAAAACTGTCTTCCTCGATCCCTTTTTTTTAGACATCAAGTGACGGGATGAACAAGTCGTGGGGCTGATGGTAAGCGACTCGCCAGACTGCCACGCAGAGGTCCCAGGTTTGATCCCAGGGCCGAGAGAAATGTTTATATGGCCTACATTTATTTCTCTCGTGAGTTTGGGTGTCATTTGTTGTCTATGTGTGTGTCCATGGCACCTGCGACACAAGGTTTCTTTTGTACGGGGCTTATGTTGAGTGTGTGCGTTATTATTATCCATAACAATTCTGCCCTCGTTAGAAAAAAAAGGCACAACTATGCGTACTTTATACAGCAGTTGTGTCTTTTTTCGTTCTGAGGGCAGAATTGCCGTACCACTTAGAGTTTTATATCGCAAAGATCCCCTGGGCGTCTGCAGCTGCGCCCGTCGTGACCCTGAGACATAAAGTCGCCAAGTCTCATGTTCATATGCCTGTAGTTTCATCAGGACCCTTACCCTTTAAAATTGGAACACAGTAATATTACTACTTGGTGGAAGAATCAGGTAAAGAGGCATTACTTTCCGAGACGAACTCTGTCATAAGTGCCACTCAAAGCTTTCAAACTCAAAGATTTGAGGTTCACTGCCACTACACCCTTCACCTTGAGACACGAGTTGACAAGTCCCATACGGCTGTAATTTCACCAAAACTCTAACCCTTCAATCGGAACGCAGTAATGCTCACATTACTGCTTTGTGGCAGAAAAAAGTAAGATACTACCTTCCCTGGATCAACTCTTTCACGAGGAGCTCTGCTGCTCCTTGTCGTGGTAAGAGTTCTTAGTCTTACAATATCTTCATGAAATATCTCCATCCGACGTAGTAGATCATGTTCCTGTTCAATCATTGACTTACAAATAAATGGACGACGGGTCTAATACAAAAACCACGAAAAAAATGTCCCAAGTCAACCTATTTAAACGTAGTGACATGTAAAGGAATATGAAAAAGCTAAAACGTTGAATTTAAATTGTAATGTCATCGCAGTACTGTCTAATTTTGCTTGCTTCGCTGTCTGTCGAACAAACGAAGATTAAAGCGTGAATGACGCTCTGTATACGATTTTAACACCCTATAAGTTCGGACACTTTTTAGCGCGGACCCGACGTCCATATAATTGTAAGTCGATGTGTTCAATGGACATTATTCGCCTCCGTCTAATTACCATTAGGCATAGCTGGTTTTCACCAATGCCGAATTAAGTGCTATTATTATAATTATTATGTTGTCCAATGCCTATTGGAGAACAAAATAATAATAATCTTTTAGGCCTTGGAAGAGGCGAGAGTCTAAAATCGATATAATAATAATAATAATAATATTCTTTCCACAACAGGCATTATTCCTAACCATCTTCTCCATAGCCTTAAATTATTAGGGCGTAAAGAAAGTCTCTACATAACCTTGCAAAAAGCTGTAATATACATGCCGCATCGTCAGAAAGTTCATGCAGATGGAAGAGGACGAAGTAGGATCTTATTACACACCCACCACATACTCGTAGATACACGCCATACTGGATTTACTTGACTTAGGTCCGTAAATGTGGTTCAAACCAGCTAACAAGCTGAGAAGACTAATGATTATAATAATAATAGATTTATGTAATATAATAGATTAATAGAATATTATCGTTACATACCAATGATAATATTTTATTAACTACCTACCCACTGATCGGCCTCTCAGATCTTTAAGTTTTAAAGCTCTGAATGGCACTACAACTGTTATGAACAGGCGGGTAGCTTACAATCAGGCGCACGACTTGTGAAACTTTACCTGAAGAATTGAGTAAACAATGTAGTGATTATTAGAACGCGATGGATGTTTTTTGGTTCTGAGAGCCTTCTTACGCACACTATATAAAAGTGTTAAAGAAATTCCTGGGTTATGGAAGAAATTTGTATTCTGTACTTAAATAAGTACAGGTTAAAGATCAATTGGCTTAAAAAGTTTCTTAAAACATCATTCATCAGTTAAAGATAATAAGGAAGCCATACCAAAATTAACTTTACGGGTCACGGGTTAAAGGTTAAGTTTGTTTAACACCTTTCTTGACACTTATCTACCCAGGGAGTCTATTGAGAACCTTTCGATAATTTAATTGTCGACCGATTTCTTTTCATTTTTATTCACAACACCCTAATAGAACGTCAAACTGTCGTATTCGAAACCTAACCGAAATGACGTCACACCCGTACGATTACTCGAGCTTCTCGACCAGCAAAGACTAAAAACGTTATTCCGAACACATTTATCGAAATTACCGAACGTCCTAAAATATAGGAACGCATTCGTCTTGCATGAAAATAAATTAATAAAATTGTACAAAATCCAGACTTTATTTAAAATAATAAGAGATTTCCTTAATGCATTCTTGCATTGTAAACAATAGTTTTTTTTTAGTGGGTCCAGTAGGATTTTCAAGTAGTCATATCCCCCTCAACGATCTTAGTACTAACGAGTAAATTTTTGGGTTCGTGGCTTCACTGACATTTTTTTAATAAAAACCTCTTTAAAAATCAGTGATAAATTATAGACAAGAATAATAATAAACAGCTTTAATTTTTCCTTTTTTTATAATTTGTAAAATAATTTTCTTCCTTTCACTTTACTATCGAAACTAGCCGTTTGCCACGCCCCTTAAATTCCATTACAAGCTTTTAATTAACAATGCCAAAAACTGGCACTTTGTTTGCTTAAGTATGCAGTGTGCACGTCGACATCACGTTACTACATATTCTATAAACGTATTTACTATAGGGAGAATTTCTTGGGCTGTAGTAAACCAAGCCGGCCTAACTGTATTTTTTTGAAATATAAATAGAAACCATTTATAGTACTGCCACATTATAAACAAAACACAAAAAATAGAATAATGTAACTAGAACAGAAATAACACAAAAAACAGAGTAAAAACATTTAAACAAGTTACATAATACTATATATATATATATATATATATATATATATATATATACTGACATGTGTGCGGCTGTGGCGTGTACAATAGGATCCCATCCAGCTAAACTCACAACCACGACTACGTTGTGACGCTGGTTTTCAATGGGCCCTAACCAAGTGAGTGACGGACGTAGGCGTCCCGAAACAGAAAATAAAATAAACTACGTAAATACTTATGTCATAAGTGTGTATAGTGTTATTGCAGTGTGTACTCTTATTGAATAAATACTTACATAATCTTTGCAATATACACATACAGTTATAAGTGTGTGTAGTGTGAAAACAAATTAATGTTAATCTCAGTACATAGTACTAAAAAAACCGACCATAAAAGTACGTGGAATTACATATAATTACCAAGTCTTATTGAAATCGGTTACCGGAAAGTGCGCAAACCCGGATTCGTCCCCTAGTTCGCCACTATACGGGACTTGACACAGGAGATAATAAAAATCGGTTATTAACAGGTTATTAACACTACAATTGTTATTAACAGGCATCTAGCTTGCCACCAGACGCACGGCATGTTCGTCCTGCCACTTGATATAAAATATAGAAGAAATAATCTCAGTACAGAGTATTAAAAACACCGACCTCAAAAGTACGTGTTAAGTTTTATTGAAATATCCCCTAGTTCGCCACTATATAGGACTTGACACAGGAGGTAATAAAAATCGGTTCTCACTACTCAAAGTATATTGAGAGAGAAAAACGCCTTGAATTGGAGAATAGCAAAATCAACCATTAAAATAATTGCTCCATATAATAAAATTTAGGCGCTATTTATACAAATGAATCTTCACGCATGAACAGCTACCCTCAGAGATGGACGATTTTGTTCAAAATTAAATGGGACTTTATTTTTAACCGACTTCAAAAAAAGGAGGATGTTTTGTATTCGGCTGTATGTTTTTTTGTATGTATGTTACGCGATAACTCCGGTATTTGAGAATCAATTTTCATGATTATTTTTTTGTTGGAAAGAGTGTACCTCTGTCCCATTTCATTTTGAAGAAAATCATTCACCTTTAAGGGTGACTGTTCACGCGTGAAGATTCATTTTTATAAATAGCGCCTAAATTTTACTATAAGGAGCAATTATTTTAATGGTTGATTTTGCTATTCGCCAATTCAAAGCGTTTTTCTCTCTCAATATACTTTGAGTAGTGAGAACCGATTTTTATTACCTCCTGTGTCAAGTCCTATATAGTGGCGAACTAGGGGATATTTCAATAAAACTTAACACGTACTTTTGAGGTCGGTGTTTTTAATACTCTGTACTGAGATTATTTCTTCTATATTTTATATCAAGTGGCAGGACGAACATGCCGTGCGTCTGGTGGCAAGCTAGATGCCTGTTAATAACAATTGTAGTGCCACTCAGAGCCTTTAAATCGCAAAGATCTAAGGGGTATTGACACTGCGCCCGTCACGCTGAGACATAAGTTGACAAGTCCCATGTGCCTGTAATTTCACCAGCACCCTTACGCTTCAAAACCGGAACACAGTAATGCTGACATTACTGCTTGGCGGCAGAAATAGTACTACTACAACTACCACAATTGGTTTCCCATACATGGTGTCAATTTGACATTTGTATGTGACTTATCTTTTGTATTTAACTTGACAGGATCGCTGTTACCAGCGCTCCGGATTTGGAGGTCGACAGGAGGTCTGCTCTTGTCTGGTAGACGGATGCAACTCGGCTTCCATCCCTGCAGGTGCTACAGCTCTCATGTTGTTCATTGCTGCATTACTGAGGTTCTAGCTTAACCAAGTTCACCCTAGTCAAGGTATTTCGTTGGTCTAATTTAGATTGATGTGATGTTAAAGTTATTTTGAAGATTTCTTAATGACATACGTCTCGGTTTAGTTGGAGTATCAACGCTATAATATTTAAGATTAACTCAAATACTGATACTGTGATGTACTTTAGACGGGGGCTTAATAACCTCGCAGCAACTATATTACAAACATCACAAACAACAACATTTGTTCCATGATTTTTTACAAAACATAATCAATTTACCAAAACTTTAAAGATTTTGTTGTACTGTCTGTCACTTTTTACACTTATATTTGGTAGTAAATTAAAACATGCTAGTGTCCTTCTCGACGACCCCCACTTTCTCTTGTTACCGCACAGAACTACCAACGTTTAGAAATATCTATTTAATTTTATTTTTATACGACAGTAATATCTGGGAGAATTATTATTTTTAGCAGTAGAGCTGCTTGTGAAAGAGTTCGTCCAGGTTATTACTGCCACCTTACCTATTCCTGCCGCCAAGCAGTAATATCAGCATTACTGTGTTCCGGTTTTGAAGGGTAAAGGTGCTGGTGAAATTACAGGCACGTTGTCAACTTATGTCTCAGAGTGACGGGCGCAGTGGTAGTGCCACTCGGATCTTTGCAATTTAAAGCTCTGAGCGGCACAGTAACTGTTATGGACAGGCGTGTAGCTTACTATCAGGTGCACGACTTGTCACTCCCGTCACTTGATGTTATAAAAAAAAATATTAAAAGTCATGGAACAAAAATTGTTGTTTATAATGTTAGTCATACAGTCCTGAGAGGTTGCTAGTATTTTTATATAACCCCGTATACTAAAAATGTTTAATACAAAAAAAAGTTGTTTATGGATTTTTTTTTCAATAGCCACGCTCGCGGGCATAACTCCTAGAGGACTGGCAACGTCTTTAAAGGTTGTCTTGAAAAATTACATTTGCAGTTGCCAGTATTCGAAAATTTTAAGTAGTCATGTAGTAGTTGTCGACTGTTTTATCGATAGATTGTGAAAGTAGGTACAATTTTGCCAAAAATGACTGAATTGTGAATGGTACGACGGTCTAATGATTGCTAATTGCGTTATAGTATTCATAATTCTTGTTTCGCAGTTTGTCTATTAATACAAAAATGAATTTTTAATTTTAAAAAAATGTACACATTTTAATAACGGCAGACGGATTTGTGTATTAAATTAAAAAACTTTAAAATATGTCTCCTATTTATGTTTTGAATACACATACTTCTAAATTTAGTGTATGTATAAATGAATTTTCAAAAACCATCAATTCAAATGAACCGGTGCCCCGTAATTGGACGTATGAAGAATCAAATGAAACAATTTCGGCAGCATAACCACCGTTCAGTCGATGAGTAGTCGATATAATATTTATTGACTATAATCATTAGCTGCTTGCAAGCGGGCAACACTTTTGCCCAATGACCTGTTATTTTACTCGGTCTTCAAAACGTACTATTGTTGATTAAGCTTATTTGATTTAGCTTTGGAGAACGTAGCTGCGAGTCTTCTAGTCACTAGATGCTTCAACGAGGCTGACTGAATGCTTTTTAACGAGAATTATCGCCTGTGGTCTGCTGAGATCCAGGATTTCAAATGCACAGTCCTGAATCGCTGATAAGTCTTTTATCTTAAAGTTTTTAAAATCAACATTTCTATATACTCGGTCTGTAGGTCTGCTGATAAGAGCGGTGGCAGGCTCCAGACAGACCTAAGGAATCAATAATAATTTCCATACTATTCATTTACATTTTAAACCGAATTCAAAAAGGAGGAGGTTCTCAATTCGTCTCAATTATGCATGTTACACGATTACTTTTTGATTATTATTTGTGAACCGATTTTGATGATTCTCTTTTTGGGTACCTAAGTATTGATCTCATTTAAATTTGAAGAAAATACCACCTTTAAGGGTAGCAAACTAGAGTGTGAAACCGGGTTCGCACTCTTTCCTTTAACCGATTCCAATAAAATAGGTGTATTTCCAATAAAAAACCACATAAGGCCTTTGACCTAACCCTTTTAAAAGCATTGAGTTCTATTTCCTTTAATTAAAAAAGTTATAAATATTACTGACTTAAAAGTGTTCCAAATGAAAGTATAATCAATGTTATAAATCTTCAAAATAACTTTTAACATCATATATAGAGAATTAACTACTGCCCTTCTAATCGATAATATCTAGTTCCTTTCAATAGTACACATTTCGATACTAAAACAACTTAAGGACGCAAATGGTTTACCAAATTAGTTGTAACTTCACTTAAAACTAGCCCATTGTGACAATTCAAACCTTAAGTTATCTGAAAAAGATACAAAATTAATTGATAAAAAAATTCCAAGAATCCACAATAACCAAAAGAAATCGTATTATTAATAAATAGTCACTAAACCCAGTAATAAGACAACCAACTTTTAGAAGTCAACTTGTATATTTTATAGTTTAGTATATTATGTATTAAGTGTCCTCTTAGGTTCCATTAGTAGTGTAGCGTAATATTTAGCATGCTAAACCATTTAGCATCGCATTGTAAATAGCCCATAGTCATGTTAGGTGTTACTTACGTAAACCAAATATGGGTCACAATATGTTCTATAGAGCCATACAACAATGGACCAAAGGCTTTTTCAGCTTCGCTGTCTGTATTCTCCACGTGTGCAAAGTAATTGTTATTAAAAAGCTTAGAAGAGAAATATAACTTAAAAAAATGGATTTGTATTTTCGCGGTACTTATATAAGTGATTGTTTTATTTTGCAATACTACTCTAGTGCATAGGAGCCCAACCTTTTTTGTCTTGTAGACCCCCCTTTCTTTTTTAATATGATACATTTTTGCAATTTCATTAAATTCAAATGTGTTTATGACAACTAACACAGTACTCACTTTGTTAAGTTTAACTGTAGACTGAAAAAATAAATATATGTTAAGTTTTGTATATTTATCATCAACTATAGTTCCATATCTGTTTTTTAGGAAATATTTACTGCATAGGTGGTATATATGTCTGTTATAAAAAACATTATGATTATTTTATTAAAATTTAAAAGTGGAACCCACGCTACTAAAAATATAAACGCGGTAGACGTCGGCGATGGCAAAATTATTTGAACTCCTTTTTAAAGGACTGGCTAAACAATATTCAAAACCGAGTTCAATGGAATAAGAGAGGGCAGCACTAGGACAGAACTGCCTCATAATAATAATAATTATGTAAGTACTGTAGAATATGTAATAATTATCTATTTATCAAGATAATCCCCGTTTTATATTCAAAAGTATCTCTCGCTACGCTACCTGAGCTACGTCCTTTGCTATAAATGGTGGAGGCGCAATATAAATGAAATCATAATATAAGGTCGTAATTTATATTTTATTTTTGTGTTTGAACTTGCTATTGTGTCTTTGTGCGCTTCGTAGTGAAAAGTAGAAAACTATAAACTTAATCCTAAAAGAAATTTACGGGCTTAAATGATGTAGACTAATTTTTGGACCAGTCTGAGGCAAGTAGCGTAATAAAGAACTGGTCAGATGGGCAAAAGAGATATGTAATTGCGACGTATCGGGAAGGGCCAGCTCTGCAATCGTATAAAACTCATTTTTCCTCGTAAGCGACGTACGATATCGTTGCACAAAAATTTTATAATCTGGATAGCTTGGCGACAAGGACAAAGATACAGGACGATGTGAAGTTTATAAGGCATTTCCTAAAATCTCTAGCTCCCAAGTTTCAATGGGTGCTTGCCAAATTTATTGCATAGGACGTAGCTCAGGTAGCGTAGCGAGAGATTCTTTTGAATATAAAACGGGGATTATCTTGATAAATCGATATTTATTACGTATTCTAAATATTGACTCATGGAAGCTTCTTCTAGAACTGCCAAGATGTTGTTCTTTTTTCTATCCTATTTTTTAAATACATTCCAAACACAAACCATAGGTACTTACAGTACATAGGTACTATCTATGTAAAGTGAATTATTCAATTTATGAAAAGCCAAAATTTTGGTCTCGACGTGCCTAAATGAGATCCACTCTCGTGACAAGGACCGTGTGTATGCTAGAGTGGATCCCTAGGGGGTCTATATAGACAACTTTGAGAGCCTATCAACTTTTTATAAATGCACTCCCTTACACGTCATCTTAAATATCGTAGCAGCTAAAATTTTTGTAGTATCAAAATATCACGAACTTGAAAAAAATATCCCAATTTATGAATAGTTTATTTGAATTGTGTAGTAAAATAAATAACTGAAATGTAAATTACAAAAAGGATACATGTAATTGAAGAACCTGTTTACATTGCTTGAATGAATAGATTTTGACATTTTTCGTCGCTGTCTTCAGTTAGTTTGTTGTAAATGTCAGGCCACAGAGCTTTGTTGTGTTTGGAAAATCACGAATGTATTTATTAAACATTTTTGAACAAATAACTGAAGTTTCAATTTAACTTTCTAATTTAGTTAAGAGTTCTAATAAAATGCTAATAAAAACTGACTGTTACAATGTCGATGTCACATCTCACGACGTCAGACGTAACTAATTAGTGTCAAACTCGAGTTATTTACTAACCGACTTCAAAAATAGGAGGAGATTTTTAATTCGACTGTATTTTTTTTAATTTGTGTTACGCGATAACTCCACATTTGTAAACCGATTTTATTGATTCTTTTTTTGTTGAAAAGAGGCTACCACAGTATTCGCCCCATTTAAATGTGAAGAAAATATTAAACCTCTAAGGGTGGCAAACTAGGGGATGAATCTGGTTCGCGAAACCGGATTCATCCTGCTGTGTTCATGTGCTTTCCAGTAACCGATTTCAATAAAATTTGACAAATGTGTATAATTCCACGTACTTTTGAGGTCGGTTTTTTAGTACTCTGTACTAAGTTAATTATGTATCAACGGGTTATATATATAACCTTTATATTATGGTCTGTGATATAACCTATACAGGGCTAAAGCCAATGTTCCACCGTACCTTACATAAACAACTTTACACTGCACAGGCCAACCAATTGTGTAAATAAATAAATAATGATTATGTACGTTCAGACACCGTCACATCTTTATTTTAATTACAAAAATATACTTTCGTGGAAAATACCCACAAACCTGACTAACTTTTTTCTTTATCATTACAATTGTACATGTGAGCTTGTTTATAAAGTATTTGTGATTCAGCAAAAAAACGAGTTATCTATCTATCTACATCTATCTAAAAACACGGAGTCAGCCGTGTCCAAGATATCTGTAAAAGGCCCGAAACGTTGGTTTGTTTAAAAAACAAATCGACTCTTCCGAAAAACAGAGTCCGATATGATTATATAGCGAAAAGAGGATAAGTACGTTACGAGAACAATTTCGTTATTCAAACTAGGTCCTATGTAAAGGTATTTTGAGAATTTATATATCTTACTTCGTTTCGGAAATATAAAATCGCACAAAGGTCGATCTGACATCCACAGCGAAGAAGAGCGAACGAAATGTACTATGTCCTGAGAACAAGTAGTCTTGCACATAGACCTTTGTTCTACGGATGTGTCGAAATACACGCGAAAAAATGGTTTTCCTAAATTAATAATAGTGTAACATGTTCTCACAGCGTTCAACCTTATATTAGAAACCCAAAAATTATTACATTAATATCATGGCAAATCCACTGTAACTTTAATTCCAAATCCGAGTATCAATTGTATGATTCTCACCATCTGAATTGTGAGCATCCTGTGTCTGATTGAGCGACAAACGAGACGCATCCTGTATTTAACAATATTTGAGCCAAGGCCGTATCTAGGTGTCATTTATTTTTATATTAATGGGGGGTCATATAATAGGGGTCCTTTTACAGAAATCGGAACTATAGAAATGGAAATAATATATAACGCTGGGAATAGTGCAAGTACGCGTAACTGGCATTGGATTACGAGTTTCCATTCCGGTAATTTAGAGGCCAAACCAAATCCGCGTAGCAACTAAATTAGCGTGATTTACGGGAAACTATTGTTATCAGTCCGTTGACAACATAAATTAATGCTTGCAGTGCAAAAATAAAAGTCGTAGCCACTGAAATAAAAAAGTAATAACGTTAAATCCCTCTCCCGCAACATTTGATTTAGTGCAGATACGCGTCCTTTACCAATACAACATAAGCAGATTTGCACTATCCCCGACAATTACACCATTTTTATTAAATCAATACAATTGTAATAAGAATGGAGAGGTTCCATGGGTGAAAGAGAGTAGTTTCAAGAAACGAGACGAGTTCAATTTCCGTGTCAAATTTTTAACTAATTAATTCATAAGCTAGTTTTGTAAATGTATTGTATACCTAAAAGGTATATTTATGTTGAACATGTGTGGCATTTACATAATACCAAACTCCTGTGTGTTATACCTACATCGTAGTTTTTTGTTTAATTTTTTGTTTCCCGAATACACCATACCATACTCTTTATTGAACAATCTAATGATAAATCCTTGTGCATTTAATTTTAAGTTTAAAGTATAACAGTTTTATCACTGATTTAGGTACCTCAACAAGATTAGAAATGTGCAGTTTTATATGACCTCCTTTTCACTACATTTATTATTTCTGCTTACGGCCCTGTATTATAAGATTCTTGTCGAATGTGACCCCCACTTAGTCTTCTCTTTCCCTGACTACGACTCTGTTTGCGAGAATTGCCTCTGGTTACGGCGGCTCTTTTATCCGAATACGATTGTATCTACGTATCTAGTCAGACCGGAATGAGTCTATATGGAATTGGTACGGCCTAGGACGCGTACGCAAGCTGCGGGTAGTCGCTAAAACGTCGGAATGCGGATCCTAGCAACTGTGACTGTTCTTTGTGGACTTTTAACGTGTGGTAAGTTGCTTTTATTTTTTATTTTACTAAGGTTTGACCTACCGCCTCCCAAGCAGATGCCGTACGTTCGACTCCGGCGTGGCGGACTATAGCTATTGTGAACAGATTTTCATGTTTATTTTTGTTGAGAAGGGTGTATCTTAGTGGCCCCTCAAATTTGAAGAAAATATTCCATATCTGACAAATTAGGGGATGAATATGGTTAATTGAATTTCACACACTTTCCGTTAACCGATTTCAACAAAACTTCGCAAATAAATGTGATTCCACAAACTTTTAGGTCGGCTTTTTATAAAAAAATGTTTTGAGTTAATGAATAACGATTAAAATATCATAATTTGACTACCTAAATACCTAGCCTATAAATATGGAAACCTTTTTTTTTAAATTGGCCTGAAACTCCAGATTTTCCCAAGATTTTCGAGACCTCATCGAGTCTCGACTTTCTACCCGAGACGCGTAAATGCGTCGAGACTGAAAACCTGCATTAGAGCTCCTTGTGGAAGAGTTCTTCCCGGGAAGTAGGTACACCATACCTATTTCTGGCGCCAAGCAGAAATGGCATTATTACGTTCCACTTTAGAAGGGTAAATTGCTGGTGAAATTACATATATGTATATTGTATATTAAGCTATAGTTTTATTACTTTGTGTTTAGGTCTTTCAATAATGTGCTACGAATGCAACAGCGCCACCAACTCCCTCTGTTCACACAAGTTCCTCCCCGATAACCTTAAGAGGAACTGTTCTGACCACGACAGAGGAGTTACTCATACCCTATGCAGGAAAATTGTCCAGGATGTAGATTATGGCGTGGATGGACATAGTCCTCAGAGTCGAGTGATCAGGAGTTGTGGGTGGGATGAATCGAAATACAAGGTAAATAATCATCAACATTGGTGCGGGGAAGAAAACTGACTATTTTTGACAGTCGTCTTCACAAGGTCGCTAATGCATTTACGAGGCCATTGACTTACAATTATATGGACGTCGGGTCCGCGTTAAAAAGTGTCCGAACTTATAGGGCGTTAAAATCGTATACAGAGCGTCATTCAGTCTTCGTTTGTTCGACTGACAGCGAAGCAAGCAAAATTAGACAGTACTGCGATGACATTACAATTTGAATTCAACGTTTTAGCTTTTTCATATTCCGTTACATGTCACTACGTTTAAATAGGTTGACTTGGGACATTTTTTTCGTGGTTTTTGTATTAGACCCGTCGTCCATTTATTTGTAAGTCAATGTATGAAGTAATGTATAAGCTTCTTTAATAAGATTCCGGTTGCTATTCAAAAAAGGTTAGGAACTACAGTCAAACAAAAACTTTATACTAAAGGTTATTACACAGCTTCTACGTACTTGGATGACAAAAATCCGTGGTAACGACCCGTTTAGTTCTCACAGCTTGTCCCGGTCTGTGATATTTGATATAAAGTATTGTAAATGTTAAATAGTGTAAATAAAAAAGCCGGTAGAATCAAAAGTGTTAATAACTCAGTTTCTTAACTGCCTCTGTGGCCGAACGGTTACCATGGAATTCTTAAAAATGGAAGTAAACCAATTTGGTACTTCGCCAACCCAGTGAAGGTTAAATTGTGCAAAACAGCTGCGCTTGTGTTGAATATTTTTTTATACAGTTAATTATCCCACCCTCCCTCCGCTTAAAATTAATAAAATAAATAACACAAGCGCAACTACAGTCTCAAACCCCACCACCAAATACATCCGACACATGTTTCGCCTCTCCACGAGGCGTCATCATGGGATGTTTATTGCTCGACGCTCGGCCGAAGAATGAGCTTGTTCAGAACGGTTGGTATATTTATACCCCTCTACCAGTGTTACTATTGTTGAAATCCGAAAAATACATGTTCATTATTATAAAGCGCGAGACACTGCTATACTTGCATAGTGATCTCAGGCTTCAAGTCACTCTCGCGCGTGTTGTTGTACCTAATTATTTTAAATTTTTATTGAATTGATATTCAATTATTTTTTGTGAAATTACTCCACTAGTTTGTTGTAATCATTAATACAAAGATCGAACACTCAGAAAAAATTCCTTCGATTCGAACCGACGTCTTCTTGCATACCGTGCCAGACGCTATACCAACTAAGCCACGGAACGAACCAGCGGATCTCACGAATTTTTCTATGTGCTTGCGTCGTGTCTTTGTATTCGGTTTTTCAACGACTTTTTAGTCGTAGCGCCATCTATGAGAAATCTATGAAAGATTTATCACCCAGTTAGTACCTTAACAGCTACTAGTCCTGGCGAGAGATGTCGCTATTCATTGTATTATATTTATATATTTCCTTCTCTTCTAAAACACCCATGATGTTCTGCCACGCAGAGGTTCCGGGTTCGATTCCCGGGCCAGGAGAAATATTTGTATGGTCTACATTTATTTCCCTCATGAGTTTGGATGTAATTTGTGGTTGTCTATCTGAGTGTCCATGGCCCGTGCACATGGTTTCGCTAGAGCGGGACTATGAGTGTGTGCTGAAAAAGAAGGAAAAAATGACAAAGCCACATAGTGGTTCTTTGTCATTAATTTGTAGAGTTTCAAAAATGTGCCCTGCAGTGCCGTACGATCAGTGGGCGTCAAGCGTAAGATAGAAATAACAAACAAACAAAATTATGTATTTCCAGGGGGTCTGCTACCAACGCTCAGGCTTCGGTGGACGGCAGGAGGTCTGCTCGTGTACCACCGACTTTTGCAACAGCTCCAACAAGACCTTCATCTCCTCAACATTACTCATTTCGATAGTCCTCCTGTTCATCAAAAACAACATTACCACTGCAGTCAGAGAAGAACCAAAGTGATGATCGTTGTAACTGTGACTTTCAAGGAACACTCTATTAACATGATATCGCGTTGACACCATTGGACGTCACTTCAATAGTAATTTTTCGTCCTCCGGGACAGGCTAAGGCGTCTAGACAAACTGCCGAAACTTAGATTTCAACTTTTCATTTTATTAAGGAGAAGCCAAATCTTCAGTACGAAATTTAAATTTAAGGCAAATTGCCAGATATTGAGTTAAATTTGGACGGAAAAAGGTCTTTTTTTAGTACTAATGGCTTTGCCTCCGCGTTTAGCCAATGAAAGTGTTGGGAAAGCAGAATTATAGATTATGGAAGAGGTACAGAATTTGGATAAAAAAGGATATGGTAAGTTGGGTAGGTAACTGTTATAAATATACATATTAAAGCTTGATATTATTATTTTCGATAAATGAGGCCAGTACATTATAAACAGCTTTGTTGCATAAATATAGTAAACTTGTTATAGAGGTGGGGAGTGAGACACTGATTGCCAGGAGTTCGGATATGAAAATGTCGTGGTCAATTGAGGGGCAGGAGAAGAAGCTATGATTTAGATTCCCATAGGCTCATACACGATGAAATTTCAATTGATCGAGAAAATCAACAGATTTATTTAGATACGGATTTACATTACGCTTACATTTAAAACAGTCGTGTTCCTAAAATGGCCTCAATATACTTTAGTAATTATGCGACCTATAAATCCTATCAACTTAAATCATTCTCTGAGCCTCTTGCTATGCGTCATTTAAAGAAAGAATTGATTTGACTTGATGGATTGAACTTGAGAAGGAAGTTGTTTTTTTTCTCTAAAGTATATTGACAAGCTCCTTAATTACTGTCTACTGTCTATCTAGAACAATTTTGCTTCTCGGAATTCTAAGGTAAGATAAAACATACCTAATAATAATTTGCCAGACAACCATACCAATTGCCAGGTCTCAAACTCGGGAATTCCCTGCACTATGAGTACCAGAGCAACGGAATTCACTCTGGGGCAATTCCCAAAACACCCAGACTAGAACAAATTTAGAAGTTCATTGCCAAATTGGTACTACCGGGACCCATCCAACCTGCCACCGAGGACTTAAACAATTTTATATGTATCTACAATGACATAACTTGGCCAAATTGCGACTCAAGAGTATTCTGCTTCTTGTCGTATCGACGACACACATTATATTATTGTTGCCCAGAACACAGTCAAGCCGACCGCGTCACTAGCAGTCGCCATTAAACCTACAAGCGTGCAGGTGTTAGGTCATGCAAAGTACGATGTGAGATGGACCATCGTCTGAACCGCACCGCACAAACAATCCAGGTCAGAACCATCCACCTGAACAAATTGTTTCTACTCCGGCCAGCTTGAGTTCGAAGCCTGTTTAAAGTCTTCTAGAGCAGGCATGGCAATTTATGTCCAGGAGGAAGACTCTCAGAAGGAGGGACAAAGGTGGTACCTAGAGTATGAGAAATTGCTACTCATTCTCCACTGCATCACACTGAGTACAATGAGATGATTGGACTATTATCATTAATTAGTCACAGAAGCAGTAGAGCTTCTTATAAAAGTAAAAGAGTTAATTAAGAAAATTACTGCCACTCCACCTATTTGTGCCGCCAAGCATTACTGTTACGGCTTTGAACGGTAAGGGTGCTGGTAAAATTACATGCACATGGGACTTGTCAACCCATGCACATTTTACTTGAAAGAATTTCATTTTTAATCGTATCTTTGCTACAATAAAACCGGTAATATTGAACCGCTCACCAAAAAAAAGCAAGTTTTTTCACAATCAAATACCACTTCTCCAACAAATGCACATCAAAATATGTACTTCAAAAGGAAATTAATTTAACATTATATTTTAATAAAATTAATGCATAATATTTTATCGGAATGTATATCTAACATCTAAACACATATTTAATATTTCTGGCATACAACAAACGTATGACCACAAGTTTATGAGAAAAAACATACTTATCCTCTAAGCTTTTTCTTAGACTATGGAAACTAAAGGACATGTTACGATGACATATTATTATATAAATCAGACGTTATATGTATAGGATGCATTTCGACGTCGAAAACATAAACATATTATTGTCTTGTCATGTTCTTTTATTTTTTTCCATCCTCTAAGCTTTTTTCACTAAAAGGGACGTCAGTCTATCGGAATGAAACACCATTTTATTTGACATAATGGTCTAATTGTACAATTTGTCCAAAACAATAAGATCAACAAAAAAATTAAAATTGCGCACAAACATTGCAACAAAGTCTAATGCTTGAAAATCGTAGTATTTTTTTGTATTTGCAAGAAAATTAGCTCCAAAGCTTAAAATAAAAAAGCAGAAAATAATAAAAAAAATTAAAATAACTTTTATTAACCTTTGCCCAGCAGTGGGACAAAATAGGTTAATATTAATAATTCAATAAAAACTTTTCTTGAATTATTAATGCGGGTGTTGCTTTCGCAGGACGTCCACGAAAAAGAAAGCTTTTTCGTCTGATTAGAACATTTTTGGCGTCTGCTGGTGGTACCACATACATGAGCCGGATCGCGAGCTCTACAACACGACTGTTTGCATTTAAAGTTTTTGAAAAAATGAGGGCGGTTTCATTTGCACAGCCTTCTAGCTTGTTCTTTATTCAGGCATATTGTACCACACTCAAGGTTGTATGCGAAAGAGATAAAAAGTCCCGATTATATTCAGTAAATCAGATGACATTTTTTAAATAATGTTATGCACTATGTGTTATTCGTTATATCATAAATATATTTGTTGTACGTGATTCATTGTATAAACGAAGATAATTTGTTGAGCAATTTTTGATAAAAATTACGGTAATTTTGTTAAAACAATTGTTATTTCTATAATATTATTTAAACAAGATGTAAAACCATATTTTTGTAATGAATGAACACTTTCGTTGTACACTGAGAAATTAGCGGAGGTCTAGTTTTGATATACGTTTTTAAATTATTTTTGACCCAAGTTTTGTTAGACAGTTGTTTTATTTGTAGTGAAATATTTTTTTAGATATGAAAGTTATTTGAATAATAAACATAATTTTATATGCATTTAGTTTTCTGATATGCACTTAAATATTTGCCTAATAAAACCTTGTAAATGTGTCGTACGTCAAAAGTGCTTTTATCACATAAAGGTTATAACACATGGACTACAGTAAACGTAGAAACATTAACTCCTGAAAAGTTGTAATTTTACAGACGAGGCCTTATTATAGCAAGGGTGAGAAATGTTGATATTTGGCAAATGGTAATGGTAGAGTTAGAGACGTTTTCTCAGCTCGCTATACTGGCGTAGGTTCATGTATTATTTAATTTTTTACTATGTTTTGACGGTGTCTAATGTGCAGAGAGAGAATTTAATCGTAGCTTTTCGGGTCCGATCCGTACATGTGCTTTTTTTATTATACCAAGTGTGTGTATGTACGCGATGGCCTTTGTGAACCGAAATACTAGTATTTCATCTCTAAGAGTTTCGCGCACTTTCTGGTAACCGAGTACAATAAAACTTGGCAAATAGATGTAATTCCACGAAGTTTTGAGGTCGGTTTGTTTAGTACTCTGTACTGAAATTATTTTCTTTGTTTGCTACTATCCGAGTAAAATACAATAGAGATGATCTCGTCTCCATTGTTTTTTTTTTTCATTTTCGGTGGTAGGTTTATTTATTTATTGGCATAGCTACAGAATACACATTTATATTGCTAAAAGCTACGAACAAGCTACGCACAGCTTTGTCATATTATTGAACACAACTAAGAATAATAATAATAATAATTTAACAAATATAATACATTATGATTGGAGGTAACTACAATTAATGAATTATAACTTAAGAAACCAATTCAAATTAATCAAACGAAAGTAACGGTCTAAAAATTACTACTGCGTTATCTTAAGATTGCATGATTTTAAAAATGAAAATATATGTCTAAACTCCTGTCCTTGTTAATTTCGTTATAGACTCGACATATACGGAATAGAGGATGATTGTAGGTAACGTAATTAGTACAACACGGCATATGAAACATTCTTTGTGTACGTTTACTTCCAGTCCTGAAAGAGAATTGGCTCAACAATTCACATGCATCCCATTTTGCATTAACTATTTTATAAGGTTAGTTTTATTTAACACATGGTGACAAGATCATTAACGACACGCCGTTACTGCAGCGTATAGAAACTAAATTGCTTCAACCTATCCTCATATGTGGGCAACTTACGTCTCCTACCAAATTTGGAGGTTAATGTTTTTGTGTTTCAATTTTTTTAGATTTAGTTGTTTAATGAATTTATCTCCTGTAACAATTGCATTTATGTCTAGTGTTTGAATTCTATTATTACAAGATTGACTGTATTATTTTATATTGATTTACATTTAAAAACGTAAAAAAATATTTCTGTTTTCATTACACTTCTAATAAAGAACTAATTACAATGTTCTATATTTATTTTAATTATTTATACTTTCCGAGTTCTTAGGTTTTCGCGATTGTTACACATAGGAAATGAAACTATTTTTCCGGAAGTATTTCCTCTGATGAAAAATTCCAAACTGCATGTTGTCATTTATTCGAATTTCTATTATTAATCAATAATAAATTTAACTTAATAAAAATTCATTCAATAAAATATTTTGTAAAACGTAATGTAGCGTAAATTGGAATATTTCTTTGAAAAATTAAAAATAAGGTATATAAATATTTAATTTTACTTTTGTAACTATAGTAAAAAATAGGGTGGTTTGCATTAATATATAATAATAAATATTAACATAACCTTAAATCTTTTATTGTAACATATAGCGTGAAGGTTGATTTTTTAAAGACCCGTACTAACTTGCCGCCAATATGTTTCTTGGGAAAGATTGTTGCCAAGTGCAAAAATAGTTATTTTTGATACAAGTGCGGAAAGTTAGTCATTATTCACGAGTCTCGAGACAAGTGAAAATGACAAATCCGCACGTGTATCAAACGACGTTTTTTAATACATTTGCGAAAAAACTACATTGAAAGTAAAATAAAACAGTATTTAAAAAAAACTCATTTTCTGCTAGTAAATTAAAATAATGAAATACAACCACTGCAACCATTATTTAAAAGTCTATGGAAATGTAGTTCTAACGTGCTGTTTTTGTTTATTTTCTGTAATATCGGTCTGTAACCACTTTTCTTATTATGACGTCCTGGTACTTTTGTTTAAACTTCTTTAGGAACCCGTGCACGGTAGTGAGATACAATTTATCTGTAATACATAAAACAAATATATACATAAAAATCTCGCCTGTCACCCATTCAGGGGTAGGCAGAGACCTCCACTCGATACGTTCATTATATAGTATTTGTAAATAAATATAAGTTTTAATGACGAATGACTTATGTACGTCACAAAGCACATAAATATTAAATAAATATACAACTTCTTTAGTTCTATGTTTAAGACTTAAAACAACAGTAAATTAAAAAAAACTGGAAAAGTAAAAAGCACTAGTGCGAGAAATCCAACTTTCCGCACGATTTGTAGTACGAAAAATACCACGTTTTGAGTAACTGTATTAAAAAAAAATTTTTAATACAGTTGCTCAAAACGTGGTATTTTTCGCACTACAAATCGTGCGGAAAGTTGGATTTTTCCTTATAGGATGGAAAAAAAATAAAGGAATAGTCTAAGGACTTTTCGCACTAGTGCGTTGTACTTTTCCATTTTTTTTTATTTACTGTTGTTTCAAGTCTTAAACATAGAACTAAAGAGGTTGTATATTTATTTGATATTTATGTGCTTTGTGATGTAAGTCATTCGTCATTAAAACGTATATTTACTTACAAACATCTTATTTGTTTAAATTGCCAAGGTGTTTTATAAAACAACGGGTAACATTTAAAAATACTAAAATATTTTCCATAAAGACGGCTGATTGAATATTAACAATGACCTGAGTTAAGTATTAAGCGAAACCGCCGCGCGCCACGCCACTATAATATATTGTTTTATTTTACTTTCAATTTTAAAATTATCATTTTCACTTGTCTCGAGTCTTGAGACTCGTGAATAATGACTAACTTTCCGCACTTATATCAAAAATAACTATTTACTATTATACAAATATTACAATAATATATTAATTAAAATAGGTCTATTAGTATTTTGTAAATGTTGAACGTTAGATAGCGTTACAAAAATGTTTAGTTAGTAGTAGTTTAGGTATTTATTTGTTAGGTTTTACTAGGCCTAGCCTATACGTAAAGGAAAGAGAAGCTCATATGAATTAGCAGTTTCAATTAAAAAGTAAAGTGGCAACAATTGCATTCACTTGTTGCGATTCTCGCGATATAAAAGTTTGTTTCCAAGTAATTAATTGTTGAAATAATGTAATAAAGTAATAAATTTTCTAAACTCGCCACAGAAGCGTAAACACACGCCGCGTTTTTCACGCGCCTCAGACACGCAGACGACGACGGCGACGCCCGTTAACACGATTCAAAAGAGATTCAATAGCGCGCAAGTTAACCTTTGCACACGTTATGTCATAAACACACGTTCCTGTTAGTATTGTAAAAAACTCCAGTAGGGGGTGTCTACATTTTAAGACTCAACTGCAATTCACAAGAGTCGACTCATAGAGACAGAGACTCACTGTTCGATGTATTACGAGCCTATTGCGTTTCCAAATAGACGCGAATTCGCCATTAGTGCTCGAGTCTATTCATGTAACGAGTCGTGCTCGAGTCTGGTAAGTACCAACCGAGCGGTGTTGTGACGTGGTGTGTTAAGCTGTAATACAATTACTGTAGTATAATTAATAAGTATTAATATTTTGTTTTGTTTATAAATCACCATATTGGGTTTTTGTTTTTTATTTAAATCGTGGGTAACAGTAGTTGTTCAGTAAAATTAAACCCTGCTTGTCGAACTCGAGACTTTGTACTGTAAAGGTTGCTTCGCGTCGAGTTTTCGAACTCGACTTTTGTTCAAACCCTAGTCATATTAACCTCTCGAGTTCTTTTTAGATTCCAGTCCGTGCTCCGATGACTATCTCGACTCGCCTCGGACTCGTGACTGATTTAGGCCACCGAGCCGTGCAAAAATAAGTCGAGTTAATAAATGTAGACTTCTGGACTCGAGTTCTTTTACAACACTAGTTCCTGAAACGAGCATCAGTTGCGCATAGGCGATTGGCGTAGACTCAGCCTTGCAACACGTTGTTGAATCGTGTCAAGCGCCATACATACAAACTTCAAATGAACTTTTTGAATGGCACACGTTTGTATAGCTTTATACTCGCGTATGAATCGATACAAACTTTAACGCCGCAGTCTGCTTTTTGAGCCTCTACGGCGCCGTAAACGCCCGTTCTGAAAACGCGCTTCATCTGCTGCATAGGGTCTTAGTAAACTTAACCCAAGACAACAATTTTCAGATTTTGTCTTGAATTTTATGTATAAGAATTTGTAGGTAAATACCTTTATTTTTTTCCATCGTTTATGGTAAATACCTGCTGATATTCTTAGCGAAACCTTTGCAAAAAATATCTTATTTCTGTAGATTACAGAAATAAGATTTTTACTGTTAGATATTAACTACTTATAAAAAGATCACATACGAAAATTTTCGATGTCAACATAAACCTTTTTGAAAAATATCATTTAATGGAGTGCCCGAATTATCCACACGTATTTGTGAATAATTTCTTATAGTCAAACAAAAATTTGCAAACAGATTGTTAAAACAACTCAAAAATTTTAAAATTGCACCAACAAATCACCGAAAATAATACACACGAATAAATATTTTGGTAAAATTAAAAGTAATTTACAATCTACAATAACCAAAAGAGATTCGAGTTTTTGGAATGTATTGGCCGAAAATCGGCGAAATCATAGGAAAAAATGGAATGACACCCCGTCAGAAACAAATGAACGAAATCATATGGTTGGCTTTAATAATTTGGCAAGTCTCACACTATTCACATCTCATCGAAGTAAAAAGATCATGAATACCTCATGCCGAGAGGAATTCATTAGGAAATAAGGAATAGTGCCCCAAGATCATACAAATCGGGTGACATCATATCAGTTAATTCGTAAGGCTAGAATAATAAGACTGAATAATTGACAGGCGACTTTACCGTTAAGTAGGAAATATTTTAATTTTTTTTAATATGTTCTGAACGAGAGAGGGACTCCGGTCACATACAACGGTAAGTACCAGTAAAAAATAATCCAAAAGTCTTGTCTCTTTTGCTGCACCAAATATGTTCAGTTTTATCTAGAGTAGTAAGAAACGCAAAGTAGATTCCATTTTTCATCACAAAATCGTGAAATCATGAGTTTTTAAGGAGAAAGTGCGGATTTTCCACGAAAAAATCTTTGACTAGCAGACACCATCTAGATCTGTAGAAAAGGTTTCGGTTACGTCAGCTGGAATAGATTTTTTTGAAAGGCAATCATCGCTATTTTAAAGAATCATGTTAGTATATTTTAGAAACATTTCGGAAAACGTCTGACTAAATGACAATTTTTACTATATATGTATACATATTTTAGTTAGTTTTGGCAGGGCTCTGTCACTGGCTCACGGTTATACGATAAGTGCCTACCGCCGAGTGCGCCGATGTCATACAAGTCTTTTGACTGTACACGGCGGGCAACGTAATTTTCACGTCTCCGAGCGCGTCTTTCGGTTCCTTTTTCCTTGTAATGAACGCCTAGCATCATTAGTCATAGGCCTATTCCACTAGTCCCTACCAGCTGTCCGCTCTGGTGGGGACAAGTGGATTTTTTTCACTCTTCCCTGCCACCGTCACTGGTCTACCCAACCGTTTCTTTTAAGAAGTTCAGCCGAGAATAAAACCATGGCAATGAAAAGTATAACTGTTTATTTAAAAACATGATATTTATTACCTGCTAAGGGCGCCTTCAAATTTTTCGTACATTATTCAGTCTGCAAATGTTGCGCTGCAGCTGCGCTTGTAAATATTGTATGAAAATTAATAGTGGCTCGGCTGCAGTATCACAATATCGCCACTGAAACCCTTCTATTCAATTTTGTCTAATTTGAAGGCTCCCAAATAGTATTGTTTAAATTTAATTAATCATTTTAATCATAATAGTATGAGACTAAGATTTCTTAGGGCGTAGTGGCAATGCCTCGCAGAGCTTAGGCACTGCAGCTGTTAAGGATAGGCGTGTCGCTTACCACCACGACTTGTTCGTCCCGTCACTTGATATCATAAAAAAAATTAACTACTTGGAATAACTGTTTCTTCATTATTATTTTATCGTGACTCAGTCAATAAAGAGATCTTATGCCCACCAGCTACCTTATCTATCAAAAAATATCTAATTATATTAGATATACGTGTAGAGACACGTTAAGAGATTTTATTGATAGGGATAAGTGAAAAAAAAACATTTAAAAAATAAATGTGTATCATACAATTCTGTAACTGAATTTTTTTTTGTAGACATTCCCAAGCCCAATGCAAGATTATGGTGGCGGTGTGTCGAGCAAGACCGGAGAGTACCGCGAAAGTGGTGCAGAGAGAGGGCGGGAGCGGAATATGCACCAGGAGGGGTACCAACCTTCACAACACCAGTACGCCGTGATGCAATCCAAGAACTATGGTAAACTATTCAATCCGTACTTTTCAAATACTCCAAACAAACAAATGGTAATAAAAAAATGTGTTTCCGTCGATTATGTACTGAAAACAATTTACAACTCGTCCGTGATTACTGACTTAGGCTTCTAGCCATGAACATTCGACAGCCATCCCATAGGATATTTCACAAAGAAACATTCAAGCTTTTCCAAAGTTTGATTTCAATTTGAAATTCTTAAATTAAGATTCTTTATTCCAGCCTGCTCCAACAAAGACATGTCTGATCCAAACATGGCAACGTACTGCAGAGTGGCCACTGGAATCTATGAAGCTACTGCTTCCAATCAACAGTACCAGAATCCGAGGTGACTCCTTAACCTACGTCACACTCTAACCGACATACTCAGTCTTCGAGTCTGATCAAGCTTAAATCTTTGCAGATACAATAATCCATCGGCCCCAACATTCAGCTCTCCGCCTAATTCGCCTCTAGTTGGCCTTGTGTTTGATCCAACTTCACCAAACTACGGTGGTTCGGCCATGATCGGCGACCGTGGTGTTAACTCCGACCGCCGCTCACAGAGCTCCTGGTCCGTCTCCAATCAAGAACCTATCGGCACAGGAGCTAAAAAGAAAATAGTAAAGAGCCAGGACAAACGCAATGCTTACAGCACCGACCCACGCTACCAGGACAGATACAAAGACAGTAGCACTGAGACTGACCGTCAAAGGAAACATGATCGAAACCTAAACTCTGAATCTACATCCAGCCTCGACTTTTTCGCTGAAGGCGAAAGAATGGTATCGGAACTGTGTAACATTTCTGATACTAACCCCAGGAACGATAATAATCTTAATATGAATAGAAATGATAACAATCAAAAACAGAATCAAAAGAATAATCAAGATGACGATAAGAATAAACCATCAGGCTCTTCAGATGTGCTTCTCACAGCCTTAGACAAAATAGTCATTCATGATCAAATTCCTAACCAAATAGTCCAGCTAGCAATAGAGGCTTGCACGGATGCAGAGAATATTGCAATAGCACACCATAACCGACCCTGCTTTAAGAATATACACTCTATTTGTGCAAAAACACGATCTAATGTGCAAAAACCTGACAGTGCTGTTGCTAACTTGCACTCTCAAGGCATTCCATGGGTTATTAAAAACTTTATTTTTTCATTTGTAAGAATCTTGGATGGATGGAAAGGGGTGAAAGAACTACTTAGCGAAAAACATGACACGTTTTCTAGAATTGAGAATAAGTATTATAGCCCTAATATACGAGAATGTTTTGTACAATGGCAAGCGGTCACCAAAGAAATGTTGACTCACATTTACAAAACATTCAAATGCCTCGATCATGGATTTACCATGGAACAAAAGAGTTTTACTCACAACTACTATGCAACTAATTCGGCTGCTCCGCGTCAACAAAATCAAAACAAATTCCAGTCAGTGAAGCCACATGCGAGTACCCCGAGGCCTGTCAACGCATCTCCGCAACCGTTCAATGCCGTCCAACCGCCGTGGGTACAAAATCAGACACAGGGAACGTCACAAAATTTCAATGAAGGGCCGTGGCCTGCTAGATCTGGAGTAACTTATAAAAAATTTCCAGTCGTTCCGCCACCAAACTCACATAACTTCTATCCATTGAACGATCAGTCTGATATGGACAGCTTTCAAAAAGCACAATATAAATGTGATCCCTGCGGTGTCCGCGAGGCCAAACCTCGTCAATCTTGGACTATAACAAATGTACCTGATTTTAGAGCACTCGAAGGCATGTGTCACGCTGACCAAAGGGAACTGTATACTCAGCTGAAACATAAAATGGACGCTGAACTAGGTAAAGCTCCAGGCCAACCACTTATGGGTAACATACCGTGCGATTTAATGCAGCGCCGTGACATGGAATTGAAGGCAAAGATGATTCCTTTGAGTCATGTAGAAAAAACACTGATACCGAGCATGGCAGCCGCCGCCGAGATGAGAGGCTGTTACGTGCAGAAGAATAATAGCTGCGGCGATACAAAGGAAGAGGCAGATTTTTTTGCGGCGTGGGGTCAGATGGTCCAAAAAGAACCTAGCGATTTTATAACTCATCACAATCACAGTATTCAAGTTCCCTCGAATGTTGTGACGATCTCTAACAATATCTCTGGCCCCGTGCAATTTATTGATCCCGAAAACGATGAGTTTCATGAGATGTCTAAAGTTTACATGAAGCCTGGCAGTTACAAAGTTCCTATTAAGCCTGCTGATCCTATATCACCATTTGTACAAGGCGTTTCACAGGAAGTCGTATACGATGGTGCGGTGGTGGATGATATGACTCCATTGAAAATGAAAATGCCATTTCCTCCTGTGACATTGGCACCACAGCCAAAATACAATATGGAAGCGTGGCCATGCTTGATGTCCAGACGTGCTGATGATATTTTTGACGATCAAAAGATAATGCAGAGACCTGCTATTCCATGCTTAGATATAAGAAGTGCAGATACTCTAGATATTTTGAGTTCAATGACATCTGACCGTGCTTGGGAAGCAGCTAAGCAATCTGCTCCTAAATTGATGGATTTTATCCACGAGGGCTCCAAGTCGGACACAGCTCGGTTGTATGATGCTTTAGGTCTCAGCGCAACCGATGAATATCTCGATGATTTGAAGCAAGTGAAACTTGGTATTGAACAAAATAACGCGTGGGCCACTGGACTACCCGCGAACCATTTCATGCCAAAAGACTTACCGACCTTGTGGGACCAGCAAGTACCTAAACACGAGTATGGGATAACAAAGAGTCAAGAACAATCTATATTTGTTGAAGACACCACAAAGTTTGTAGATTTGGAATCAAAATGTCTAGAACCAGAAGATCACGTCGAAGTAATTGATAACAAAACTGAACAATCAAAAGAGAATGCACGTTGTCCAAATTTCGATCACACTGGCAATTGTATTCGAGACGAAAATCACAAGAAATCTACTGGCAAATCAAAGGTGGCAGTGTCAGGCATGTGGTATCATCCCAAGAAAAAGAAACCTCTTGCTGCAACTACTGTCAAAAAGTTTGAAACAATATTAGGCAACTTATCACAGATAAACGAAGCCGCGTTTATTCAACACGATATGGATATTAAAGTGGTAAGTTTTTGTACCAATTTAATATTCAAACTCTTGTAAAGCTTCTTAGCAATGTCCTAAAGGATGTACTTTGCAGGCTCCTCGTTTTTACGAAGTTGTGAAATATCCAATGTGCCTTCACGATATATCTACAAAATTGAAGAATTCAGCCTATACTGAATACGAACAAGTCGTTCAAGATTTTAGGCGAATTTTCAACAATGTCCGACTCTACCTAAAGGTACTTTAAACATACGTATTTGTAAAGCAATTTATAGAGAGCAGTAGAATAATAGACAATGTTTCATTTCACAGAGTTATCCTGACCCTGCTATGAAGAAAAATGTAAATAAAGTGTCAAGTGACTTCGAGAAATTGTTGAACGACGAATTTCAAAATAAATGGGAAACTAAACCCAAGTCTCAAGAGACCGTGGAGCCACAGGAGAGTTCCAAGAGTAAGAAAGACGAGAAAGAGGGTGAAGTTACCAGCGCGGAGACGAAATACGATGACGCAAACAAAAAAGACACAAAAACTAGTGGAAATGACAAGAATTAAACGAATTTAACTCTACTTTGACTTCGGGGGCTATTATCATAAATCTAAAAAGTAATAATTACTGCCACAGTTCGTCGCTACGGCGAAAATACTAGAAACTATTTTGGATCATGCCAGCAAACCAGTCGCATAAAATCTAAAATGGCACAAATCTATGATTAGTAAAATTACAATTCAAAATGTATCAACAGATGGTTAAAATAAAGAACAGAGTATATTTTTTTTAAACAAATGTCAGTGAAGTTACCAGAACTTATAATACATAAGATTATCAATTTAATGTGTAAGTGCTTGCCAGTTTTTCGAATGGACTTTATCAGCTACCAGAAAGGGGCATTAACTTTATTTTGTTCTCTATTTAATTGTTGTCTTCTTTCCTTGCGCGGTTACTTATAATAATTTATTTTTATGCGCATCTTGTTCATGTTTCTTCCATTAATTCACATTATCTACTTAGCCCGTGTTGATTTTGCCTGCACAGATACAAATTTAGACGCACCGTGTAGGTGGCCGCATTTTCTTTGTGCCCCTGCGCGCTTTGTCACCGCTAGTTTCCCTATAGCCGAACCTAGAATAGATAGTTCTTTTTTATATCTCGATCTGTGATGTATATTTAGGTAAAAGTTGATAATTTGAATCGTTTTTTCACGCTTAATTACTAGTTATACACGCTTGCGACTGTAAATAGATTAATAAAATTTGAGCTTAAAGGTTTAAGTTGTCGAATTTCAGCCATGTGTTTAAGGACTGACATTGATATATACAATTGATGGTATCACACTGATATTATAGAGTATTTCCCATCATGAGAAGCGGGTGCCACGAGCGGCATCTTGTCGTCGCCCTGTTAACCTAACGGGGCATTTCTATTTGACAGAGCCGCCTCGTCGCCCTTCTCGTGCTGAGAGATTATTGATAACATTATATTTATATTGTACGTGAAACGTTGTTTTTTATCTGATTTGTTCATTCGGTGTCCCCGCATCAATATTTAAATATTTTTTAAACGATTTTTGAGTCCATTTTACCTGCCATAGAAAATAAGTGAATGGGTTACGACGTCTCACTTTGATATCCTTGTTTCAGTGTCCTTTCGACACTTTGAAAATATTGTAAGTCCAAATTCCAAATTTCAAATTCTTCTATGATGACGTTCGAGTTAATTTTAAGTATTCATTAAGTTGTGATTTTATTATTTAACTTATTTACCTAAAATTATGGCAAGGAACTCCTATGATAATAAAAAGAGTTGTTTTGTATGTTTGTGTGTTTTAGTAATACTTAAAATTGTAGAAGCTTTCACTCCTAAACTCGAGAAAATAAATCGGTGCCTCACATGTAAGTTGTAAGTCAAAACACCATTCTTTGCTCTTTAAATTTCCTTTTTTATATATGTTTTAGGTACCATAATTTAAAGTAAAGAAATCACTTCGTGTTATGTTTACTTTCAAACATAGAACCATAAAAAAAGGATATATTTAAGTTAAAAAGCAAAAAATAGTATTTTGACTTACAACAACTTACCTGAGAGGTATCCAAATTGTGTTGATCTAGAAGCCGATAAACAATTTCTAAGGGTAATTGACAAAGAATCATACACACACTGGCACATTTAGCGCAACAAGTATTGAGAAAATAAAATAGTACTATTTATATTAATAATAATTACACATAAAGTAACAATGAAGTAAACATTTTTTATTATAGATTTTGTAAAATTTTACTCAATTTTTGTTGACAAACATCGAAAATAAAACACTTTACATTTTGTGATAGAATCTGTCGAATCCAGAATTTGTCTTGTAGTCCTGTAACTGAACAAGTACAGCAAAAGCGGTTGAAAATTTAAAAACTACGTACATTGTTTTATTTTACAAGAACTCAAACCACTCGACTAACGGGGTTGCCACACGGGCGTTGCGTCGGCGTTGCGTAGCACAGTGGGTTCAAATTGCTAATTCAATAACTTGTGGAGTATCGAACAAATTTTTTTTCATGTGATAGATAATAATATTCCTAACAACTTTTATTCTTGTATAATTTCCTGTTAAAAAAGTTGATAGTTTCGGAGAAAAATTTTTTTTTTTTTTTGTATGGAGAAATACACATTTTATTTTATTTGTCCAAATATACGAAAATGTAATATGCGTGGGTTACTTACAGTTAATTTTAACCATTTTCTATGTGGAAAAAAATAATCTGTCTGCTTTGTAAGTAAAGGTGTGGCAAAATTACCAAGATTTTTATGTGTTTTTTTAACAAAATACATGAGCTACGACTAAAGAAAAATTACTTTTAGTGTAATTTAGAGTGTTATAACAATAACACGAAAGTTAAGTAGAAACTAGTATATTGTGTTAAAAAATAAATAACAAATCTAAAATGTTGCTACCTTTTTACTCGTAAAGCCAGTACCTGCATATGGATTATTTTTTTCTTGATACAAAAAGCATTGGACCTATACTGTAAATAAATCACCCACATTACATTTTCCTACATTTCGACATAAAAAAGAAAATATTTATTTCTCAAAACAAAAAAAAATATTTTTTTTCTCTGAAACAATCAACTTTTCAAGAAATTATATAAGAATAAAACTTATCAGGAATATTATTATGTATCATATGAAAAAAAAGTCGGCTCTGTATTCCTAAGATTGTTCCCATGACTAAATAATAATTTAGCCTAAAATGTATACTTTTATTTCCGGCATTTTCTTTTAGCTGTACCTGTCCCATTAAGAGATTTCCCACACTAGCGATTTTCAAGCGTCAGCATCTTACCAAAGTACGCACAGCGTCGCCACGATGTGCCACTCGCGCAGCCGCGGCGCAACGCCAGCGCGGCGTCAGTAAGGGACTGCTGGGGATCTACTACAGTTCTTTTGATTTAGTTGAGTGTTACTTATTTCACAGTAATTGTTTTGGATGGATGTCAGACGGGAGTGGACCCGAAATAGTGCCGAACGTCGTGTATATAACGCGGCGATGACGCCATGCCAGCGCGACGTATACCCGACGCCGCATTATGCCAGAAACGCAAAATACCAAACGGGCTGAGATGTCAGATTTGCAGAATGCCAGATTAGCAAAATGCCAAATGTCACTGTCAGGAACAGGCCTTCCTCCTCCTGACGCACGAACTAATGTCCAGTAGTGGACGTCATTCGGCGGAAATAATGATGATAATGAAGCGAGATTCTGATGCTTTATTAATTTGTTAAATACAAAATGTAGTTTAGTCTAACCAGTAAATAACTGATCTTTCTATCATAAAGAAATTTGCTAACTTTACAGCTTCAATTAGGTAGTACTAACTTAAACTTACTGCCTACTCAGAGACCTTTTTTTAGAATATTTTTATGAAACTTTCTGGAATTGCTGTTAATATTTTCGAAAGTAAGGGATAAGGGAAGAGGGAATATTTCTTCGGGAAAACCAGATTAAGATGTCCTTTAAAAATATGCATTTTGAATGGTTGTACGTGGACTAATTAGCAATTAAGTGAAATGAATATTTGAATAAAATATTATTTATTGGGAATAAAAAAAAAACAAAATGCATTTATAAACATAACAATTTTAAATGACAATGAATTGACCAATTTGGAATTCTTATTAAAAAAGAATACAATTACTGTACTAATAGAAGAGTAGAGAATAGTGTACTAATATAGCAATATAAGTTAGTAATATCTAATTGAAGCTGTAAAGTTAGTAATTTTCTTTATGAAAGCAAGATGATTAGTTCGTGCGTCAAGAGGAGGAAGGCCAGTTCCTGGCAATGACAATTGGCATTTTGCTAATCTGGCCTCTTGCGAGTCTGGCATTCTGCGAATCTGACCGTTTGGCATTGTCAAAACGCGGAAGTCATGTCGACGCTGTGCGTGCATTGCTTAAACTATGGATCCATCCTCTAAGGTGCGTTGGCAAGACACTAACGGTTGAAAGACGCTAGACGCTTAGGTTTACGCGATTGTTACACATTGAAAATGTAACTGTTTTTTCGGATCTAAGCTAATGTTTGTTTTTTTTCTCAAACAAACTAACGTTTCGGGCACTTTACACGTCCCGTGGTCACGGTTGGTTTGAAATAACAAATATAAGCGATTTAAATCCGAAAAAAACCACTAGCTCCCTTACCTTACCCTTCAATGGGTGCTGGTGAAATTACAAGCACATGGGACTTGTCACCTTATATCTCAGGGTGACGGGCGCAATGGCAATGCACCTCAGGTCTTTGCGATTTAGAGGTCTGAGTTGTAACGAAAAACGTTACATACCTCTTTTTTTTACATAATCGGTTAA